GACAAGTAGTTTCTTGATCAATTATCAGTAATCGGTTTCAATACTGGTCGATACGATATTAATATGGATTTGTTTGCTAAATTTAGTACCGACAACATTAAATCTGTCATCAAAAAGCGGACATCAAATGCTCAATATTAGCAACAATGTACCGGCTATGATGAATATCTCGCAAGATGTCTCGGTGGCTGTAAATTTGATGACAAAATAAGATATGTCTGTGGTCTCGATGAAGTTCCGTTCTCTTATGAGTACAAAACTGTAATCAATGTATTTAATCATAATACCGTCTCGTCTATGTCAGCTTTTGATAGCAAGCTCAGAGGAATCTGCTTCACCATGGATGACTACGAACGAGTAAGGTTCGTGTGCGAGTGCAATGTGATGAACTCAATTGAGGACATAATGATCTGGTACAACAATCTTGACGTATTCCCATTCATCAAAGTCATCAAGGCTCAAGTTGAACTTTTCCAGCATTTTGGTCTGAGTATGTTTGCGGATGGGGCGCTACCTAATTTTTTAGAGAAGGTCATAAATCCGACTTTCTAAAATAATCTTTGATATTCGGATAAGAAACCTACTCACGCATTTCAATTTCCAGTAAAGCTCATGAGAGGGTACACAAATCAGGATGCTAGGGCAATTTTTTCTTTTGGTATGACACTTGAGAGCTTGAATCATTGCTGCAAAAGTATAAGTTTTTATTTGGTATATGCTACCGCCACCTGACCAGTGACGCTACATCAGCTGACCATATCAACAAAACGTATGGCCACATCGACGGCAACATCTTAATTAGCTGTATGAAGTGCAACTCCGCGCGTAAAGTTATGTTCCTCGGGATATCGCGATGCAGTTTTTCTTAAGTTCAACTCGATGAGACTGGCAAACTCTATTTGTTGGGAGTTACGAAACATCTACGCTAAGCGGAAGCCAAGATCTCCGGAGATCAATTTTCTTTGATTGCTACGCTAATCGTAATGAAACCAAGATTCGTGGTTAGGTATATAGAAAATATCGCATACGTTGCTAATACTCATTTTCTTTGTGCTCTTGGTAATGAGATGCCATGCGGTCAAATGACTACTGTTGACGGATATGACGGTATTAGCGACGACTTCAATGCCGATAGAATATTTGGCTTTTTTAAATGCGATATTCGTAACCATCTGAAAACTTCTTCTGTGATTCGACTTCATTTCTTAAGAATGTACTTAGCAAATGTACCAACAAGATAATCATTAGTAAGAAAATGTTCGATCACAATGCGGTGCGTAAGCAATGCAGAGCAAAGCCAACCCGCAAGTTGATTGATGGCATATTTAAGTAAAAATGATTACTCTTTATTGCTTAAGTGGTACCTGTTAGTTATGGCGCTAATCGCAACACTTGCACCGGCTCAAAAGTTAAGGTGATTGATTGGCTCAAGCGGTTTGTCTTTAACAGACTTGACCACGATGCTGTGAGTTCAGTTGAAAGTTGCTATGTAGTATCTCATTACACGGCTATACCTACTCGGCCCTGACTAAGATATTACATTGCTTCATTCCACTGGGGTATTTTTTTTCCTAATTTTAATTCTTGATTTCTTTTGTACGAGTCGCCATCCCGAAGTCCTTATTAGCTGTTGTCGGTAATATTTTGCATGCAGCCGATATTTCCTGCATGTCTGGTACGATTACGATTTTGTCCGCTAAGGGGCTCGAACCCGCACCACACAACGTTAGGCCCAGAAGCATTGACCACTTGACCCACGCCACCAGGTCGATGCTGTGAGTTCAATTCCCCCTAAGTATGGTTAGCGCGTGTTTAACCTTTATGGTTAATACTGCTTATTAAAGTGTGTACTTATTTTAGATTCGCGAAAAGACTGAGTTAGAGTGTTCCACATACCTTAGGATGGGCTGGTAGCTCTAAACTTAGGTTTAGTATATCGTGTGGCCAGCAAGGCAGTTGCGCATGGGCCCGCACAATTGCGTCTAGCATTAATATACTCACTTCTGCAATTGCACACACAAGCGCACATCACTTCTACTTCTACCTCTGCTCTTCCTATTTCCTTTAGTACCTTTCTCATGACCAAGACTTACTGCTTCGTCGAGGCCAGCTCTTATTAGATTTTTTATCCCAGTATGGAGGCTAGATCAAACGCGAGACAAAGGTTGATGTTGATAAGCCCTTGACATGTGTGTGAATTCACCATGAAGAAACGCCGACATAATAAACCAATTCACTTGTCAATTGCTACCCATCAGCATGCTAAGCTGTGTATGGCTCAATTTAGCAATGACTGCATAGACTTTTACTTTGACCGCTGTGACTTCCAGTATCAGGAGATGAACATTGTTTCAGCTTATTTCACTTTCAGCTATGAAAATCTGTTTCACGACTATATCGAGCCTGACATATATACGATTAGTCCAACGCGACTACAACATTGAGGTAGCTCAAATCGATCGCCATACGCCTGGTTTGTTCAAAGATGAATGGTCACGTGATGCTATGGTATCGCTATCAAGAAAAAACTATATTTGCTATATACCAAATGAATCTTATATGATAAAAGTTTCAGCGAAGTGCAGATGGTATCACTACCGAATTGTTTGTTATAAAAACAACCTCCAGACAAGAAAATTCTTGATTCCTACCATATCGAGCTATGGTTTAGCGACTGTTTAGTTATACAACATGACCTCAAACCAGCTTTATCGGAGCTTAAGCGCTGTAGCAAAAGGGAAAGGAGATGCATTCTAAGATAACTTTTAAGATCGTAAGGGATTGTTTATCATCACTGACAGAGATTCCACGAATTTAGATAAATGCACGATTCATGGCTTCAATAAAGCTTTGCATCGCCATAAATCGTGGCAAATGGGTCTTGCGTTTTGGGAGAAGCGAAATGTTTTGATAGCTATCATTAGTAATTCTAGATTGGTCTACGCAAAGCCCATGATGAATAAGACTGCGCCAGCTGTATTAGCGGCGCTTGAAACCTTTGTTCGCCCCCTAAAAATCAATATCCTGACAGCAGATAACAGTATCGAGTTCATGAGCTCAAACGAACAAGAATTCTTCAAATTCGATAAAATGAAACGCTTTTACAATGATTCCGGTGATCAAGGTACATTGTAAGAAATCGAGCAATTCAACAGAACGTTAAGGCAGAAATTAGCTAGAAATTTTCCCAGCAGAATTTTGCAAAATGTTACTGCCGATGCTATCGAAAATTACAATATCACATTTCATTGTTAAATTGGTCTGATTCCAAATGAAGCAAAAGTCAAAGAAATGGATGCGGATATGATTGAAAATCAAGTGGAATAGGATAGACTGACGGAGGAATTTGAGATCGGATTCAACAAATCATACCGTCTTAAAAAGCATATACTTGATATAAAGCTATTTGATGGAGTAAAGCAGCTTAACCAATCGCTGGAATTTTTGGCTACCGAGTTCAAGTCTGTTCCAAGAATGGTCATACCCTATACAAGGAACCAACGAACTTAAATTTGTTGAGTCTGAGACCACAGATACTTGTATTAGTCGAGATGATATTATTGAGGCGTCGAAGATCTTAAAGCAGAAGAAGATACGATCGGGTAAGTTCAAATATTTTGTTAGGTGGGTTTATAATAATCCGGACTCGTGGGAGCCCCAAAATAATTGCGCCTTATTGATGTGAATCGGGGTTCTATTCTGGAGAAGGCGTACTGAAGTATTCAGCTCCAGCTAGCAGGATAACAAATAAAACGGCGGCGTACTCTTAAGCACCGGCTCACGTACAAGCTTATGGGAAAACGATGCCCACCGGATCGCACTCACGTATTTCTCGCTCGAAAATTACTACAGTCGTTACGATTTCCGACCATATCCAACTAAACTGTTCCATTATGTTGATCCCAAGTCTTTTTGCGTTAAATGCCGTTTATTGACTCGAGTAAATGCTTTTTTATTTTTAGCAAAATATCTCATTTGCGGTATTTGCCTTTTATACAGGGTCTGAAGGTTACGTGCCAGGAAGCTGCCGTAGCTCTTTGCTTAGAGGAAGCTAAGATAAGGTCATCGACCTTACGTTTTTTACAAGAACCAGAACGAGTGTAGTGGATCGCTATCCGATACTTCCTAGAGTACCCCAAACCTTCGCCAAGTTACAGACCTCTCCCGTTCAAAAATCAATAAATTTTAGTTGCGGCAGAGCCGCCTATATTCAAAGCCCTAGGTTCTCCTAATAAAAGGAAAAAACTAATAGAATGCATAACTACTGACAGTCCCGCCACGTAGTGATTTCCCGATACGGTGTAGCCACACCAAGGTGTGATTGCACCGACTTGTGTATTCCACACCTTTGTACAGTCACACCATCTTGTGTGACCCACCCTTTCAAACAGGGGTACGTGTAACCCTGTTACACTTTCCCCATCAACATTGTGAGTACCCACAAATCACATTTGATTGTCGCCTCATACAAGGCTCGCGTGTCTGAGACACCGCTACGTCCTTTGAAAATGTTTGTACATTCTCCGCTTAGTGAGCTATGTGTCTATGACACGAAAAACACCCAGCCTGGCTGGTTCCGATGGCGTCTGCGGGCAAATCCCTTCTTCTTTTGCACGG